ACCCTGAACAGTGAAATATAGTTGGAGAAGATTCCAAAAGCAGAAGTGAAGACGCTAAGGGCAAATAAAGATAGAAACCATGGACTGGATAGCCTACACTCCACTTTTTTATTGTCCCAACACCTGAGGGACATGACCCTACTCATCAGTTACAGTGGCTCCCCGTGACTAAGGACTTCTCTGAATCTTCAGAGGGGCAAGCAAATTTGCCAAATTTCCCTCCCTAGGTGGTTCTAACATGCCTCCCTAGGGCAGTGTGTCTCTTTCCTCTGTTGCAAACCACTATAGTAGACTAGAATAAAGAAGCCCAAAGTGCAAGAATAGACAGTCCAAAGCTGGTAGAGATCTTTGGTAAGCTCAGGGTGGCAGGACCATTTTATTTTTCTCTCCCCGCTCACCTATGGCCTAGCACAAACCTACCACATTTCAAAAAAAGCCCAGGAGGTAACAGTTAAAAAATCAGAAGAGGCCTTTTTATAATAAAAGTCAACGCTAAAAGGGGTCCAAGGACTCTTAAGATAACTAGAATGACCCAAGAGGCCCTCCCTCTCCAGGTTATGGAAGGCCTGAGTCCCTTGTGAAGTCTTACCTAAAGGCCAAAGGTGAGGGAGGCTTCCTTTAGCCCCCTCTTCAACCCACATGGACCTAAAGCATTCACCAGCCCCATGCAGGAGAATGGAAAAAAGGAGATTGACTATCAATCTCTTGACGGTGAAAAGGTGAAAGCTAAGAAGAGATTGAAACCTATGGTGGGTGGGTGGCGGGGTGGGGTGCAGGTGGGGGAAGAAAAATTCAAAGTTGTGTTTGTCCACAGCTATATTTCCAATGTCTACACCAAGGATTAGTTCATATAAGAGGCAATGAATGAATGAGCTGATGGAGAAGTAGTAAATCCCAGATTGAATGGGTTGTCCAAGGAACTGAAGAGAGGTGTTTGAAAGAGGGCCTGGACAACAGAGGCTCTGCACCCACAGGGAAGCAAGTGCGTGAACAGAATTGAACTGCGCAGACAGCCCCTCCCAATTCATAATCAAAGCAGACTGAGTGAATCCTGAGAGGAAGATCAGGCCTAGAGAGGCTGCTCTCCATCCCTTCTGCATTCCACATATCAGAAAAACTCCAGGGGTTTAAATTTTGTTTAACATGAAAAATTAGGAGATTCTACATAAAGATACTATTGATAAACTGAAGATTATTCCTACTTGAGTCAAGTGCTATGTGTGTGCATTCTTGAACCAGACTGCCTGAATTTAAAGCCTGGCTCATTCATTACCAGCATGATCCTGAACAATTTACTCAACCTCTTTTTACTCCATTTCCTCAACCCATCCCCTCATTAAGAGATAATTATCTCTTGTCATAAAGACTCAATATATTAATCCTTGTATAACACCTGCAATGGTGCCTGGCACATGATATGCCTCAATACAATTAACTACCATAACGTGAGGCACGTATGTGTCAAAAGAATACAAGTTAAGATGTTGTTAGGGGTTAAATTGCCCCTGCCCTCACACCAAATTCGTATGTTGAAATTGTAATCCCCAATACTTCATAATGTAGCTGAATTTAGAGACAGGGTCTTTAAAGGGTAAAGTTAAATGAGGTCATTAGAGGGGCCCCAGTTCAAGATGACTAGTATCCTTATAAGATACTAGGACACGGGGACACACACACACACCCCCCCCCATGTGAAGACAGAGAAGAAAGCTATATATAAGCTGAGTGAGGTCCTCAGAAGAAACCAACCCTGCTGATACCCTGATCTTGAATTTCTAGCCTCCAGAACTGAGAAAATAAATTTCTGTTGTTTAAGCTACTCAGTCTGTGGTACTTTGTTATGGCAGCCCCAGAAAACTGATACAGATTTTCTTATGAAACAAATGTGGCCCACTTTACAAATTACCAAATTCAAATGCCCTGAGGCATCTGAATATAAACGGTGCTTTAAATTCATTCATTCATTCAACACTGGAGCACCTACTATGCCCTGAACACTGCATGTTTATTTATTAAAACCCTTTGTCATATAAGCCCATTTTATTTTCTTGTAACAACCCACTTCTAATTTTGTCCATTTTCTGCTGGGCAGCTTAGTGTGCCACTTGGTTGTCTGCCACTGCTTCTCCTGATTAATGGGAAATGATCCTTGTTATGGATCTGAAATGAACAGCATCAGAGGATGTAGTTCTCAACTCTGGCTAAACACTAGAATCACCTGGGAAGTTATAAAAATATCCACACCCAGACCTACCCTTACCCTGTTCTGATTTAGTTGGTCTTTGTGTGGAGCTCTGGCAGTGTTTCTGTAAGCTTCCCAGACAATTCTAGTGTGCAACAAAAGTTGAGCACCATTACTCAAGTTTAAAAGGGCCTTCAAGGTCACCCCCCTTCAATTCAAAGTGCAGTTCACAAATCACCAGCACTGTCATCATCTGGAAGCTCCTTAGAAATGCAGAATCTCAGGTTCCATCCCAAACTACTGTATCGGAATATATATTTTAACAGGACTCCCCACACAATTCAGATGCACCCTAAAATTTAAGAAGCAATGTATTCCTACTAGAATCTAGATGATTCACAGAATCTAGATTATTCTAATGGGAGTTCACTGCTTCTGAATCAACTAGAACGCATGTTAAAAACTAAGCTACCTGGCTTCCTCTCAGAATCATAGAATCTCAATCTTTGGGAAAAAGGCCTAGAAATCAAAATTTTATGTGTTTTTGTGTAGCTAGCCACACAAGGGTCTGCGGCTTGGGAATCACTTACCTAGGGCAATGTATATACCCTTTCAACTGCCCAGCCTCTGTTTAACAACCTTCCAATTCTTTTTTGAAAATCAGAAATATAACAGAGATACAGGTTTTTATTTTTCCACCATGCATGCAAACTTACAACTATTTATACTATTTAGGAACACAGAAATAATTGCGTTATTAACAGGGTGTCAAATTACCAAGTACAACAACCAGTTACTAATTATTTTGGGGGAGGTTATTTTCACAGAACACAGCAACAATTTCTAAATTATTCTTCCAAAACCAGAGTTATGAGACCAGTACAAGCTGGTAACAATGCTAACGGTCACACAAGTTTCCATGTTACACAGAAAAAAAAGATTGACATTCTGCTGAAGGGTCTCAAGTACCTTATCATATCAGAATTTTTGAAAGAGTTTTACAACAGAACAGTCTCTCTCTTGTTTTGTGGATACAAGGGAAAGGAAGCATCCCTCTCATTTCTTTTTGAGACTCCTTGTTAATTCTTAAAACACATTTCTAAGGCCCATCTCTGGAACTTCGTTAGTTAACATTAAAAGCAAAAAGCAGACCTGATGTGATTATGATAGTGCACCCCATCACTATCACCATCAAAAGAGACTACCAATCTCCCAAAGTAGTCACGGTTGCATTGGCTTAGTGTCTTGGATTTTCAATAAACAATACAGATGAAAAAGAGGCAGATACAGATGAAACCAGGTTGACCATAACTGATAAATGATGCAGCTAGGTGATGGACACATGGGGTCCAAGGACCATCCTCTCCACTTCTATGCATGCCTGAAAATGTCCATAACAAAGAGAAAAAAAATTAACAACAAAAAAAAAAGCAGACTTGCACAGCTCTATCTTCCCATTAGACTAAAATGGGGAAAGTGGTAAGACTTTAAAGGTAAAATGTACAGCATATAGCACTCTTCTGCATGTACAAAGCCACACCTAGAACAAAAAAGAAAGTAACCGAAGTAACATCATTCTGTTCCTGGTTTGTCTCTGTGGCTTATAAAATCTACTGATGATAAGATTGGACAAAACCTTGGAAACACCCTCAACTAGGCATCCTATTTGTCCATAACCTCTTCAACTCTCCTTTTCCAAGCTAAGGAGGTCCCTCCCATACTCTATCACTGAGAGACAGGCATGCTCCCCCTGCGGCTTTTCAAGCCATTTCTGTCTGATTTGCCAGGCCCACACCGTACCAGTATCATGCCTACTCGATGGTTTTGCTCCAAATCCCCAGCCTAGCACACCCTTGCTACAACTTTAAGTCAAGGTCTCTCCTGAGGAACTTAGAATGAGGTCTCCCTAACAAAAGAGAAGGTAGGGAAGAACAGGCATAGATACAGTCCTTCTTCCCCACCCTCAGGGATAAGAGAGGGAAAGGCCCAGCTCCGCTTTTAAACCCACTGGAAATAATCTGGAGATCCAAAACAGATTCTGCCCATCCCCATCCCCATCCCCCAGGAGAAGCTTGAGATACTCCATAATGGAGACTAAAACCCACTCCTGGGGCTATTTGAGGTAGAAGCAAAGAGAGCAAAGGACTGCTGAAAGTGGGAAAGCTGGGGGTTGAGGTCCAGATGGCCAGAGGCTACCACAAAGGAGGAAACAGCAGGAGGCACTTGAGTCTTAGGGAGTATTAAAACAAAGTCAAAACAAGAGTAAACACTAGTCTATGATATGGCTGCCTTGGGGTTTATCACTCGAGCAGACGCTATGCATGAAATGGTTTTTCAACTTCAGAACTGTAGAGCAAGCCCGGGAGATAGGTTCAGGGTCTGCCAGCAGATCCACTTGGCCTTCTGGTTTCCTCAACTCTCTTTCAATCTAGTATATGTGCGCAGTGCCAAGTTCTTAGATAGCTCCCTAGCTGTATGTAGAAAAATGTGGTTTTCCAGTTGTTTTCTCTGTGGTACTATTTAAACAAAATAAAAAGGAATAAGGAAAAAAGGAAGGGGAAGGTGCAAGGGGAGAAAAGGAGGCTACCAAGAAAGGGAGGGAGGAAAGAAGAATGAGGGAGGAAATGAGGGATGGAGGAAGGCAGGCAAGTGAAGTAAGAAGTGTGAGTGACCTGAAGTCAAGCAAGCAGAGGCCCACAAATCAGAAATACCTCTTCCCCAGAACCCCTACTATAGCACTCTGCTCATGTCTTAGAAGGGAATAAGGGAAGTTGACAGCGGTATCTGGATTCTATATAGGCCCAGTCCTCACCCTCACCTGCAGCCACAGCATAATGACGGTGAACACATGTCCACACATACCAGCCCGCCCATCAGTCTGGCAGCCAGTAGGGTTCCTGGAAAGCTGGGGAGGGTTGGTGTGTGTCTCATGCACTGGTAGGGGGCCTCAGTCCACAGGCAGTTCTTGAGGTCCTTGTTGACCAGGAAGCCAACTGGGGCTGACAGCAACCCAGACAAAACTTAATGGCTTGATAGTGACACGGCATGGGAAGATCCTGATGAGATTAAAGTTCACCAGTAGAAGGGCCCAGAAGCAAGAAGAGACACATGATGGTACAGAACACATGGCATACTGCTTCTTGCCCTTAACTTCATGCATGCCCAGCAGTTAAGTGCCATTCTGCAGAACATCAAGCAGGATGGGTCTCACGGACCACAGGCCAAAGCCAGATATAAAGTAGGTGACATCTTAGCTGGTGACCCCAGACCCACAGAACAGTAAGTTCTAGGTGATGACTAATACCATGTGCACTGGCTTCATTCTGCAGTGGCAATGGAAACGCTTGCATAGATGACATGCACGGCCAGCATGAACACGAAGCCCAGGAAGTCACCGACCCTGAAGGAGCAGAGCTTGAGGATGCACTGGTGGTCCTGGAGGATGACTCATGAGTGTCCATGTTAAAGACAAGTAGGAAAAGCCAGAGCCAAGAACAAGGTCCAGGCAATGTAGATAAAAGGCAGCACACATCTAAAGTACGTGTGCTTAACATATGAACAGTCCGGATGCGATCACATAACATGTGACACCAACGTAGAAAAGCAAGAGGCTATGGGAGGCAAAAGAACATGATCATAAACGCCATATTCTTGTAACTAAAGTCCAAAGGGTCTATAGTACACAGAGACCAACATGAAGAGAAGGCAGAGAGCCAAATACGTAGTCAACCAGGAACAGCCCAGCAGGAGGTAGCAGGGAGACTTGTGCAGGATCAGTTGGACTGGCTCACCCCAGGCTGAGTAGTCTCCACTGGCTGCTTTCCTGGACCTTGCCTGCCTTCTTTTTCCTTTCCTTTCTCTACACGAGCCCCTTCACTCAAAAGGTAGAACTGCAGGGGATTGGGCCACAATTCTTCGTTGATTATCTCCACAATCTTGTCAGACTCAATGGAGCTGTGGTTTGAAAACCAACCAAAGAAGCTACGGTTGTTTTCTGGGTTTCCCTGGCTTAGGGACTGGAGATCATGCCCTGGGAGCCACTGGATTGGAGTAGAACGAGACACCACCTGGCCAGAAGGACCACAGCCATATTCCTTGATGAGCACCTTATTTTGGAAATATGGATTGCGATCGAAGTAGAACTTGATTTTGTAGCCCAATCTGGCAAGGCCGAGCTCTTCCACTTCCAAGCTGTTTAAGTAGCTCAGTACCTCTTTCTCTTGGCTGTTCAGAAACGATGCTAGCTGGGGGTGGTTCTGAAATGCTTGCCCCCAGAAGCCCGGGATATTTTGGATGAGGTGGTTCCTGCGCTCCAAGTGCTGCAGTCGCAACTGCCCAAACTTCCTGGAGAGCCGAAGGTAGGCCCTGTCCGCCTGGGCGTTCATGTTCTCCAGCTTCAGCTGCACGTTCTCCAGCGTATCCATGCTGCCTTCCGTCGCTGGGGGCCCCGACCCTGCATCCCTCTCTTCCTTCTTTTCCTCCCCAGCTGAGACCGAGGTATTCTCCCCTGCCGACCCTTTCTTCTGCCTGCCACCAGCTATGACCTGAGGCCCCCTCCCCGCAGTGCTACAGGTTTCTGGGGCCTTCTTCCCGGCAGGGCCACGCCGGTTTCCAACGCGGGGGGCATTTTTCGGCCTTCCCAAGGTTCCCGCTGTTCCCACGAAGACAGTGTCTGCGGCCAGGCGCTCCGAGAGGGATGCGGCCTTTCCCGGGCCGGGCCTGGCCGCGGCCTGCCCGCGGTCCCCCGCAGCTCGGGCCCGCAGCGCGAGGCCACAGTCCAGGGGGAGCCGGCAGGCTGCCTCCTCCCCCAGCCGGAGGAGCTGCGCGGACGCAGCGGTTTCCAGGCCACCCCACCCCGCGCCAGCCTGCACCTGTGCCGCCTGGGTGTCTTCCCCGAGACTCTGGTACTGTGAAGGGTCCGGGTCGCGCGGGGCGTCGTCCGGAGCAGGGCGGACTCGGGCTTTGGCGCGGCCTTTGCCCCGGTTTTTCGCGCGGGAGGACTTTCGACCCCGACTTCGGCCGCTCATGGTGGTGGCAGAGGCGGCTTCAAAGCCACGCTGTGACCCTGCGGCTCCTAACGCCAGCTCACGGTCGGGACCGAGCGGGTCTCTCCACGGCAACCGCCAACGTCACGACCGTACAACTGTACCGTCGCGAGAGGACGGGATGCGCCCCGTGATTGGTGCCGCCGCTGCGGCTGCGCAGGAGACGACCCCCGCGGGCGCGCCCACCCCCATCTCGCGCGGACTCGCTTTCGGTCTTAGCGAGTTTCTCTGATACGCGCCCGGGGGATGCTGCTCTTTCATTTCTTCCCCGCGGTCTCATCGTGCCCTCAGGGTCTCGCTCAACAAGGCAACGCTAAGAGCCATCACCACCTGTCCCCCATCACCTGTTTTCTAAACTAAACATCTTCAGCTCCTCCAGTTATCTCTTGTGACATCTGTCATGAAGAAAGTGCTCAGGCCTGTGTGTCTCTCTTTGAACACCTTTGCTGAGGGATTTGCTCTGGTACCTTAACTCCAGAGAACGTAAAGGTGGATGCTCTAATGCCGGGCGTCAAAGCGATTTGGTAGGTAGTGGGATGGTAGTAGAAATTACAAAAATAATAGCAACTAGTATTTTGTATCATTTGTGCCAGGCACTCTACTAGGTGCTTTAAATGCATTATCTCAATTTACAAAGGAGGTGTTGGTATCATTCCCATTTTCCAGATAAGAAAACTGCAGCTCAGAGACACTCAGGCGCATTCCCCAGGTTACACAGTAAGGGATGGAAGCACAATTCAAACTCAAGCCCATGGGACTCTGTATCCTATGCTTTATATTAGGAAATGGCAAGTCCTTCCAGATTTGTTCCACTGTCAGTTACTGGGCTGGCTCTTAAGAAGTCAGCCTTGCTCCTTAACAGACAGGCTTCCATGGACCACCTGACCACCTCTTCTGCCTGGGAACATCACCCAAGTCCCCCAGCTGCCTCAGTTTACAGAACTGAGGTATAGGTACCTATCACTAGGTATAAGATCAGGAGTGAAGACCTGTATTAGAGCTCCTGTCATTGGAGTAAGACAAGAATGTGGTCAGAGGTGAAATTATTATTCAGGGAGCAGATCGAGGTTCAGAAGCAGAGCCTCCACGTGGCACTGCAGAAGCCCTAGGAACTTCTTACACTGTGCATGGAAACAGCCAGACAACCTCCCTCATAGTCCCGGAGGCAGCTCTGGACCACGCTCTTACTAGCGAGGTAATAGGACCATGAATAGTGAGGGGACGCATGGCTAATGTAAAAATATAAAGAAAAACCTTTTGAGGTGGTCTTTTCAGGCTCAAAGGGAACAAAAAGGCCCTTGTAACCAGCTGGTGGAGAGATAAGCCAAAAAGCCCCTGGGACTTCATTACTCAAAGTGTGGTTGTGGACCAGCAGCCTGATGTAACCTGAAAGCTTGTTAAAGATGCAGAATCTCAGGTCTTTCCCCAGACCTACTAAGTCAGAATTTGAATTTAACAAGATCCTGGGTTATTTGTATATACCCCTAAGTTTAAGGAGACAATTTAAAGAGGAATTATTTTTATACAGATGGCCCTATTTTAATCCAGCCTAATACAAGTGATCTCTCATTTTCTCAAAAGCTCCAGAATAGCCTGCAAGGCGCTGTATGATCTGGCAAGTCCCCTACCTGCCACTACATGAGTTACCTCTCTGACCTCATCTTCTCTCTCCTCTCTCCCACCTCTAGCTACAGCGGCCTTGCTGTTCTTAAACTCACTAGGTAAACTCCGGCCTCAGAGCCTTCGCACGGGCTCTTCCTTCTGCCTTAAATGCTCTTTCCTAATGTGGTCGGTGGCCTTGGCCTGCTGCCTTCACACTTTGCTTAAATGTCACCTTCTCAATGACCATCCTATTTAGAATTGCCACCCTCCCCATCCCTTTTACCCTTCTCTACTTTTTCTTTATTCCAACACACTATACCAATTATTTATTATGCTGCTTAACTCTCTTCTCTCTAGAATGTCAGCTCCATAAGGGAAGAGATTTTTGTTTTGTTCACTGATGTATCCTCGGTGCCTGCAACAGTGTCTGACATATGAAGAGCACTTAATAAATACCTGTTGAAAGAAAGAACCAATCAGCAGAGTTTTCAAAAATGGATTTGTCAATGATTGTCTGAAGTTCAGAATAGCTCCCGTTTTCCCACAGAAGCAATGCTATGGATGCTGTAGTCTCAGATGAACTCATGGAAACCTACTAAACTCATAATTTAGCCAAAAAATAATATTTTGTTACAGAGCACCATTCGGGGACAGTCTGTAAGTAAAAATTTAGAGTGACAAATTTAAAAATTAAGTTGGGAGAATTAATATTTGACTTAAAAGGGATTAATTAGTTTAAGGATTATCTTAAATTCTTATTGAAAGCCCTTTCATAATAATTTCTTCCCAAGGCCTTCTGTGATCACCTCAGACCACAATAAGCAGCCTTGTCCTTGATCTCACAGAGCACTTGTTAACTGTAGTATTCATTTGGCAGTGGGGCACACCCTGTTTTGTACCAGTTATTTTACAAAATTACTTTTAAAGCTGGATAATCACAGCCTGAAACTCTCCATAAATCTCAGAAAAAAATTTAAAAATCAGCTGATGCATTTGCCATCCCTCTGTAGACTTGACATTGATGGGTTGGCCCACTTCTTAGAACACTCACAGATCACCCCATCTCTGTTGTCAAGAGTCTTAATCCAGCGTCAGCATCTGCGTCATGTGGCAGTCACCAATGGCTAAACCACTGCAGGATTAACACAGGGCTGGGCCATTGCAATGTGTTTATTATACAATCTGCCTTGAACCTTTTTTCATCATGTCAAAGCATCAGATGAAGGGAAATAAATGTGAGACCGACACTTTTTATAAAAATGTCCCTCTGCTCTAAGTCACCAGTTCCCCATGGCTTTTGTATTTGAAAGTTTCGTCTGTGCTGCTGAACTGGACTGTGTGTTTTCTTCTTGGGTATTAATATTTAACTATGTGGAACTGTAGTTTGTGTTCCTAATTGGATAGTAAACTATGTAAGTGTGGAGACCGTGTCTCTTTTTACTTTTATCTCTCAGAGCACCTAGCATGGGGCCTTGCACATACCAGTAATTATAATGAAAGTTTACATTTATTTCATACTTTATATAGTGCTATGCCTTAACTCATTTAATCTCTGCAGTCACCCCATGGGGCAGGTGCAATTATTGTTCTCGTCTTGGAGAGGAAGTTACTGCCACACAAAATGGTTCAGTAACTTGCCCAAGGTCACACAGCTAATAAATGTTTTTTGCCAAAGCGATCTGACTTCAGCACCATGCTCTTAATTAATAATACATGACGTAAAATTATGGCTTAATAGATTAAAACTCTCTCTCTAGTGGGTAAAAATACCTTTTAATGTTAAAAAATTATGTATATTAAATATATATGTACACACATATGTAGATATACATATACACATAATACATACATCAATTAGTTATGAGTCATTTATTTATGGGGTATACAATATACCTGGCATAGCAATACTCAACATAAATTTAGTTTCAACAGCCCATGATGAGAACGAAGCATCTCTATTTGCACTGCATTTATCATAAGCATCCTGTTAATATTATGAAAGAAATGCAAGTTTACGGTCACGAACTCAGAGATCCGGGAGTGTTGTGAACTTCTTCCAATATCTGCAGGCTTAAGTTCATGGTAATATAAGCATTTAGTTGATTATTTCTAGTGTAATATTTCTTTATTAGCAAATATTTATTAGAAATTCATGAAATAGTTTTCAAACGTTTATGTGTATTATGTCTACATGTATGTATATGCATATGTGTTTGTGTGTATGTAATTCAAAGTATTAGAACAAAGAGTCTTCACTTTTGTTCTCTGCATATTGTGCTTTCTCCATTCCTTTTGATATCTGTTTTCTTTGAATCATAGAAATTTACAAGCTGGGAAAAAGACATTCGTCATCCAGCCTATTCCCCAGCGAAGGGAAAAACATTCCCCATCATTTCTCTTGTAGAGCTTTAGGATCCAGACTTGACATTTTTAGCCACAGGACTTTTCTATTCTTCCCCAAGGAGATAGTTTAAGTCTATTAGATAGCAGTGAGTATTGCTTACTGTGTGGGATTTTGCCAACCAACCCTCCCAGGTCACTAAAGGGCATGGAAAAGAAGGCAGTGTCCTAAGAAATATTTTCATAGTCAAGGAGGGAGGGAGAGAAAAATCTGCCTCTTATGATAAATTTCAAGACTATTTGAGCTTAATGTCTTGAGAAATTTGCCTAGCTTCTTCCCAGTTCCTCGCCAAAGAGCAAAATTTTATGGTAGACCACCTAAGTTATTTCAGTTCATATCCTGTATGTAGCTATAAAATATTTTAAAATATTTCCTGATGTATTCTTTCTTCTTAGCATTTCGTTTTTATCCTGCAACATCTTAACCATTAAAAAAGATCTTAGGCTAAGGCTTTTGTTCTAGAAAAGGGAAAAAAGACAAAGAACCCAGCAAGCAGAATTTCAGCAAGTCAGATTCTTCACTTTGAATTTCAAAATTGGCTCTTGAGAGGGTAAGACACGATAGCATGGAAAGAGAAAAATATATATTTGATATATATTTGAAGAGCTAAATGTGCGCATGCACACACACACACACTGCCTCTACTGTCACTGTGTGTGAGTGTGTGTGTGTGTGTGTGTGTGTGTATTTAGCTCTCCAAAGATAATTAAGTCCTGGAGCACTAACAGCATAGAGTTTATAACATTAACCATAGAAGAGGAAAAACGTGATGATATAGAAGCCATTTCTCTGCTACACAAAGAGGAGATAAGAACCTTTTCGGGTCTGGAGTCAAGGAACTTGGAAAAGATTCAGAGAGTGAGTAGTTGGTGTAGAGTCTTGAGAAATGCTTCTCACAGTGACCACAGTGACCGCCACATGGGTCAATACCCTTGGAGCATCAGTAAAGACCACCTTCTCTGGACAAGACAGAGGTATGAGAATAGGGAGAATTAGTTCACAGCTTGACAATTGAAACTCAGACAAGAAAGGGCTTTTCTCAGAGGGCTCCACACCATCAAAGGGCAGCCAAGGCAGCATAAAAGTATGTACAGGGTAACAA